CCCAAGGGCTCTCTGATAGTTCTAGGATGAATGTGACAATTTCTGTCTTGTCTTTATCTTAAAGTGAGTATGATAAATAGACCTTGTCAGATAATGAATTGATGCATATAAAATGATCAGTTCTTCAGGCTGAACAAAATCTAGAAATAAGCAAAATGGCAACTAGTTGGCTACCTCTTCTCCTTTCTAGTTTAAGTAACCACCTCAGTCAAGATAATCTTTGTTTAAGAACAACCACACACACACAATTGCATTGGTTTTCAGTGAAGACAGGTTGATGAGTTTTCTGCAGTCAGAGTTGGCAGGGTTAATGTGCACCAGCTGAGAAGCGTGCTGGTGCCTTCTGGCAGCCCCATATGCAGATGCTGTTATAGTAATTACAAAAGAAACCTGATTAACTTGGAAGCCCTTTAGCTGTCAGCAAGGCAGCTGCTCCAGCTCTGAGATGGTTGCCTTCCTTCCGCCTCCTGTCCGGCTCCAATTTTAATCTCTTCTTTAGAAGACTGCTCAGGCTGCACTGTAGGTCCTCAGAGCCTCTGGCTAGTTCAGTCAGCTTTTTGATCCACAATTATAGAAGTGCCGAGGGAGCGTGCATCATTAAATTCACATATACCTTAAAATAAGGTAAAATCAGTCAAACCAGCCGCCTCCTCCCCTCAATCATTGTTCTTCCAACAATCAAAATTGATGGAATCCTGACATTTTAAAGCTGGAAAGAGGTTAAAGATGAACGAACGAACCCAACTCCCCCTACCCCAGGTTTTGCCCACGAGAAACTCGAGGCTTAAAGAAGTGGAAGTGAATTGCCAAGGTCACAGAGCATTTGTAAAGTGTGGAATTGGAAAATCTGCCCCCTGCTCTGATGCTCTTCTCAAGTCGATGCTGTAAGCCTTCCCTTGCAGAGAAATAATGAGTGAGGTGATCTGCTTGTAACTTCAGGCCCTCCTTCCAATCATTTGGATTTGTTGAGGTCAATGAAAAAGCTGAAGACTAATAGAAGCAGCACAAAACAAAAAACCCATTTCACAGTCCTTGAGTTGGCTTTGCCTTGGGGCACCCGGCAGTTGGGTTTCTGAGGCTGTAAATCTTTATGGGAAGAGACTGCTCGGGTTTTTTTTTTCCTTCCAATGACTGGCTGGTGGACTCAAATTGCTGACCTTGTAATTAACAGCCCAGTGTGTATTGCACCAGGACACTAGATTTCCTTGGGAGATTCAGAGGACGTGACTGTGTCCATAGTGAAGACTTCCGTCCAAAAGGTTGGCTGCAGAACCCTAGCACAACACATGGGTAGGTAACGCCAGAATTGGGCTCTCCCTGATCCCCTTCCTGCCCTGGTGGTTTTGACACCACAAGTCTTTTTGTAATGGGTGTTTCTGTAGAAGAGATTGGGAGGGGCAGGATTGGGGTCAGATGTTGAATGGGGTGTGTCTGCTGTGGTTTTGGCAGATGCAGCTTGTCTTGCTGCCTTTCCTATCGTTGATAAGGTTGGCTCGTTGAGGCCTCTCCCTCTGGTCCTGAAAAGTGGTTAAGTTGGGTTTTGTTCATTATTACCACTTTGCTGGCAATAGCAGTCCCAGGGCTCATTTTGTTTGTTTATTTGCTGCAAAACAACTTTTTATTAAAGGAGTTGGGAGGGTAGTCTGTATGCTCTTAGCTTAGAAATCTGAGGAGGATTAGAAAAGAGAGGAAAGATAGCAAGTTTAGGTGAGGTGAAACGAGTCTAGCTGAACTCCACACTGTTCAGGCTGAGACTGGGGGAGTTCAGTCCTATAAGAGGAGTGAGAGAGGCTTTATTCTTTTGTCTTCATCTGTTTTCCATGTTGGAAGGTAACTTCTCAGTAATGGCAGTTGCTTTTACACCACAGTCAACTTTTCCAAATACGTGGTGGAACTTCTTACAGCTTTCTGTAGACAGTTCTTCACACTTAAGTGGACCCTTATCCAGGGCAAATATATAGCGTTAAGTCTTCACTCAGCTCACAGGCTTTGGGCGTGGTGTCAACAGGGACTGGCCCTTTCCATCAGGCTTGGAAAAGCAGAGGGTCAGCAGAAGAGAAGACCCTTTGTGAGACCGACTGGCATGGTGACTGCAGCAATGAGCTTGCTCAGCAGAGATTGTGATGATGGTGCAGAATGAGGCAGAACGTCACTCAGCCGTGCACGGAGGTGCTGTGAGTCAGAGCTGAGGGAAGGCACCTCACAACAACAGTGTTTCTGTCATTGTGTTGGATGCTGAGGATAAAGAGAAATATGATGGCTCTTCCTGCTGTTGATAATTATAAACAACAACTACCTGTGAAGAATACTAGAGATTCCTGACAGTATGGTTACATATCTAGCAGCTAACCCAAAGGCCAATGGTTCAAATCCATCAGCCACTCCTTGGAAGAAGGATGAGGTAATCTCCTGTAACTTTACAGCCTCATAAATACAAGAGACACTTGCCATTATTTGGAATTAACTCAACATCTGAACTGACTCAGTGGCATTCGGTTGGAGGGTTTGTGAACAAAGTATTGAGGGACTCTTAACTGTTCATTGCCACTCATTAAGTGATCATACAGCAATTGACGTGTCCACCTTACTTTTAAGATTTGTAGATGCAAGCCTAGACATGCAGTCTGTTGATTTAATTTCATGCTGGTAAAACACCTTGCATCAAGTTAGGTACTCATTTAATACTCTTTACTTTTTCAAGGTAACCCATGCCTTTCCCAGGAGAATAGTTTCCATGTTTCTTTGATGTAATGGATATATGGTGCCAGGCCAGAGTCATACACACAGACAAGTCAGAAGAGCCCCGACGAAATACATACGGGGGTCTGGGTGGAAAGAGACCTCTTTCAATCTTATCTCTGGATTGGTGGTGCCATTTGTGGAAGAGATGAAAGCATGTGGATATGAAATAGATTTGTAGCAAAGTTGATACAGTCTAAAGTAAGAAAACATCTTTATTGAGTCAGGCCTCCTTTGCTTCTGCTCTTAGTGAATCCTCTCAAATCAGTTCTGATTCATAGTTACTCCCCATATGACAAAGTAGAAGTGGCCTGTAGGGTTTTCTTGCTGTACTCTTAATGGAAGCAGATTGCCAGATCTTTCTCTTATGTAGCCCTTGGATGGGTTTGAACAACCACCAGTCTTTCAGTTCAGAGCTGAGCATTTCACTGTTGTACCACCATGCTCCTTGCTGCTTCAATTACAGGAGCAAAAGAAGAAACTTAGAAATGGTTTAATGTAGCTCTTGGTTAAATGACTCATATGAATACAGTTTCATTTGGTGCCACCCAAGTTTTAATGAAGATGTATATAGTTCATGCGTGGAAACCTTCTTTCCCCTTTCTGAGCAAGTGCAAAGCTTTCCTGGATCATAGGTAGAGATAAGCGCTGGTGCTGAAGAGGTGGAGACAACACCCACTTCAGGCTTTCTGCAAACTGGTTTCTGCTTTTCCCAGGGAGAGGCTCCCATATCTTGGGAAGTGTTTTGTTCTTTCTTGAGTAATATTTGAATCCATTGTGGGGTGCTGTCTACTTAGAAGGGAGCTCTGGTGGATAAGGAATTGTGCCACCATCCCCAAGGCTGGTAGTTTAAATCTACCAATTAATGGAGGAAGATGGGCATTCTCCTCCTGCGCAATTTATAGCCTCTGAAAAAATCCACTGCAAAGTCAGCTATGAGATCAGGCTTGACACTGATGAGCTGAGCCAGTTAGATTAGTCAAGGAGCTCTGGCGGCTTAATGGTAAGGAGCTGCGCTGCCAACCCAGAGGCATGTGGTTTGACCAGCTGCTCCTCGGGAGGAGGGTGGACAGTCTTTTCCTGTGCAGTTTACTGCCTCTGAAAACGAGAGTCAGCTATGAGTCTGCTCTGATTGGAAGGTAAACAGCAACGACAGTTAGGTTAATGGTGGTTGCCCAGAAAGAAGGGTATTGTTGAGATAGATGGCATCTCTTCCTAGATTTGCTGGACATTCTTGTAGTAGGCAGTCCTCTTCCTTTGTCTTACTCAGGACCTTGTCATCTGTAAACTGGAAGAATGTGATCTGATTAGGAGGTATTGATGGTAATTGAGCTCCCTGTGTTGTAGGAGAACAGATGAGTTGGCAGCTGGGAGTTGTCACTTAATATCAGGGAGATGAACTGGAAAATATTCTAGCACTTAAGTCAAACTTGAGTAATACTCTATTTTGACTTGTGTACATTTAAAGATGTAGCTCATACATATGTTTGGTAATAAAATATGCCATAAGTAAGGAAAGTAGCAAGCTAAAGTTGTATTATCATAGAGAAATTTGCATGTATGTTTAAGAATTAGGCTTTTTCTTAGAAGGAAGGCTTTCACTTTTACATATTTAGGTGGAGTTTCTCCTTGGACTCAGGTCGCTGGCCTTGTCATTTCATTCTTGTTGTCATTGAGTCTCTTTTACCTTAAACAGTCCGTTTACCCAATAAAAAGATCAGGCAAACCAGGTCACTGCTAACCTTTACAAAGAATTTTTAAGCACAAGGTGGTGATTCAGATCTTCCAGCTGTCACATGGCAAAAATATGAGCCAGACTGCTTCTGTTAAGGTTGCATTCGTGAAACCCTGTTTGGGCAGTTTTGCTCTGTCCAGTATATATATAGGCTCACTGTCATTCAGGAGTGACTTGATGGCAGTGGGTTTTGTTTTAGGGGTTTTGCTTTGGGCTGCCCAAAAGGTGGGTGATTCACAGTGACCTGAACTGAAGGGTAGAGATACGGCAGCCCGCTTCAATAAAGAATACCATCTTGGAAATTACTTGATAGTTGTGGTCTGTCTTGTAGGGTCACTGTGAGTCCAGTTGACTTAATGGCAGTGGGTGGGGGCCACGTTTTCTGGGTAGACACAACAGCTCAGAGCCTCCTAGAAACACCTCCCCTAGGCACCTGCCCCCGATAGGCTGGCTGTGTGTAGGTATCTCGGCCCTTTCTCACGCCTCTCTGTATTTCTCTTTCCCCATCCTCCCCTCCCCCTACCAGGCCAGCTAAGCTGCATTTCATTCCCACCTGAGGAAGAGAAGTGCCTCCAGCAGATTGTGGACTGCCTGCCCTGCATCCTGATCCTCGGCCAGGACTGCAGTGTCAAGTGCCAGCTGTTGAACCTGCTCCTGGGGGTGCAGGTGCTTCCCACCATCAAGCTGGCCAGTGAGGAAAGCTGTAAGCTTCGGCGCCTCCGCTTCACCTATGGGACTCAGACGCGGGTCAGCCTGGCCCTCCCTGGCCAGTACGAGCTAGTGCACACTCTGGTTGCTCACCAGGGAAACTGGGAGACCATCCCTGAGGAGGACCTGGAGGTCCAAGAGGACAGTGAGGATGCGGCCCATGTCTTAGCTGAGCTGGAGGTGACGATGCACCATGCTCTCCTGCAGGTACCCATCTCTTCCTTCCACACCAAGCACACATGTATATACTCGCTTTTGTTTCATTTGTGTTTTCTCAGAAGAAAGTAATTTAGAAAAACATACTCTGGAGTTGGAGGTATATGATGTCAAAGCACTGTAATCTAGGCAGTTGAAAACCAGCCAGGCACGTGGCAGTATGCATCTCTGCTCTGCTCTCATGCTGCTAGGCCCTGAGCGGTTTGCCTTCTTACCCCGCTTCCTGAAATAGAAGGAATGTGATATTTGCCTCTTGGTAGACTTTTACAGAGTAGTTATAATCACTTAGAAACAATTTTTCATTCCTTAAGAGAAAAGAGTTATTGAAATTGTCTCTAGCCATCCAGCCCTTCCTAAAAGAAATAAGACAATGAGAGGGAAGTTTATATTCTTATTACAACTGAGACCAAAGAAAGGATATTGTGGGCTTTTCCTTAGAACTGGCCATCAGTTTATGAGGTGCGAGCAGATGTGTCTCCTACTTTCTAAGGAATTTCTAAGAAACCTCTATGAGGGCAGGGTTGGTTCAGGAAAAGAGAGAAAGTGATCCAGTTATCTAAGGAATGTGTTTACTTCTCTCCAGAAAAGACTACAGGTTCTTGTGACCCCTCCTAAGAGATCATACTATCTACTTACTAGTATTCACGGCTCCACTTAGGAAGGACTCCTCTCTTGTAGCTTGTCCAGTCTCTTAGAAAGCTGGGACTTGATTATTTGATTAGCGCGACTGGTGGTCAGCAAAGGATGTGACTGCATTAGGAACCAGGACTAACAGCATGGAGACATTCTCAGGGTCGGGAGGCCATCGCCTTGCTTAGTGGTGTCAGGAAGGAAAGGGCTGTTGGCCAGGACCTCAACAATGCTCGCTTTCTTGCAACCTCATCCCCTGCCTCTTTTCTAACAGACTCAGTTTCCCAGCTACCAGATGAGACCTCTGGTTGCAACCATAGCCTGTGACACTGTAGAAGTTAATGATATTATCTCATTTCCTTCTAAGATCTAGTTTCTCTTGTTTGTTTGTTTCTTTTATTTTTATAAATGCTTCTTGTTGTTGAGTACCTTTGAGTTGGAACCGACCTGTAACTGACTCTGCAGCTGGTTTTCAGAGGCTCTAAATCTCACAAGTGGAGGGAGATTGCCCATCCTTCTCTTGTGGAGTAGCTGGTGGATTTGAACCATGTGCCTTTGGAATTGTAGCACAGCTTCTTACTACTAAGCCTCCAGAGCTCCCTTTGATAAATGCTAGAGGGGGCTATGTATACAGGCTAGCATTTTAAAAAATAACGCGTATTTCTAGTTTTGTAGTCCTTTGGTGGGAAGTCCACACCATGACCACAGAGCAGGTTAATACAACTTGTTTATGCTTCCTTTTTGCTGGCACTAACTAACATTGGCTTTGCAGTCCCTGGATTGTCTTCATTTTGTTCTTAGCTTCCTTTTGCTATTTTCTTGAGGTCTTTTTATTATCCTATTGGGCATATCTTTTGTGTTTTCAAGGTTCATTTTTCTCTGCTTAAGTCAAGAAATAATAAACCATGCCAAAGCCACCAGGAAAATGGGTTCTAAATCCAGACCCAAAGATAACATCTGGTGTGCTATTGTACATTCTGGCTACTGCTCTCCCCTCTCCCCCTCACCCCCATTCCTGTCTAAAACATTGCTACCTTCACAGGGTGAAGGATATTAATGACCATTTGTTTCAGTGGAAGTAATTGATTTATCATACATTTCTGGGTCCATATGAGTACCATACTGTTCATTATGGTGGTCACTCTTCAAGCACTCCGCAAAGAACAGAGTACTGAAAAATAATAGAACTAAAAATTTGCCATTTTAATAATTTTTAAGTGTCCTAGGTTGTTGACTTTAATCCGCGGCTCTAAGGCCAGTTTTAAATTGTTCTTGGTCAGACATTCTTCTAGGTCATATAGCCCTGGTTTGTCCACTTGCTGTACAGAGGTAACTTGTGGTTGCTGTGAAGCCTAACACTGTGACACTGATGTGTCAAATGCATTAATGGTTACCCATGGTGGACAGTGTTTGGTGGAGCTCCCCAATTAAAACAAGCTTGGAAGCAGGAGTGGCATCCACTTCCATAATAGCTTGCCACCAGAAACCTATGAACCTGAAGAGAGAATGAAAGTCACACAAGTGTTGAGGACTTTCGTTCATAGGGTTGCTATGAGTCACCTACGACTCAACAGCACTTAACAACAACACAGCAACTAGATTGTTAATGCAAGTCACCAGGTGGCATGATTATTGCCAGAAGTTTTATATCACTCCCAACAGAGTATCAGCTGGATTGTGTTGTTTTTTGAATATTTTCTTGTGAATTAGATGACCTAGCCCCAGTTTGACTAATGACGAGTTTGCTTTGTATTCAGACTGAGAGCTCTTATTTCCTCACTTTGAGCGCTCTGAAAGTTCTCGGGTAACTCTGACAATAATCCTTTCTTATTAACTGAGGTTTGTTCAGTTGATCCACGACTACGAACTTCCCATTTCAGAAATATTTTATCTACATAGAATCTTTCTGTGATAGCCACACTGAACCAGTTCATTCAAGTTTCCCATAGCTCACTATTTCTCAAAGTGTTTTTTTAAAACTCTTAAGTCACTATAAGAAATAAATATCATATCATAACCCACTATAAATATGTATTGTATATATAAATTTGAAATGAACAATAATTTCCTGAAAATACACTGATATTTTTCACTTCTATTTTACGTGAATTCATTTTTTTAAAAATAATGGTAGCAAAAAAAGAAAAAGATGGTGGAACCCACTAGATTGATGTCATGTAACCTAGAACATTGTGACCTTCATTTGAGAATAAAAAATACATTTTTTAAAATTTTTTATTATTATTATTTTTGTGTGTGTAGCATCAAATCAGATCTGACAGGTACAGGAGGAGATTGTCCCTCCTTCTCCAGCAGAGCATCTGGTGGATTCAAACCGCGCACCTCTGGGATTGCAGTGCAGTTTCTTGCCACTAGGCCACCAGAGTTCGCCAAGAAATACATTTTAATAACAGTTAAATAACTGAAAGAATTGCTGTAAGCAAGGTGGTGTATTTTCTTATTCTTATCTTTTAAAAACAATTGTGGAATGCCAACAAAACGTCTTGGTCAGATAAGCAGGCTTGAGTTCCTTACCTGACTTCAGGAGGAAATGATTTCTCTGTTCTTGTATTGATTTTAACATAAAAAACTTTTATTCCATGAGTTGAAGGCATATGAGAGTCATAGGGACAAAAGCAAGACCCATACCCCAGCACATAGCAAAGCAGATCTTTTACTGGTGGGGGATCCCGGTGCCCATTCCTGGTCTGTACTTAGTAGTCGGTCTGAGATAGAAATAGAAGAGATTGCTTGGCTGGGAAATTGAGTCTCACATCAACTTTTTCTCAGCACAGTTGAAAGATATATTCTCCCTCTTCTCTTTTCCTCAAGAATTCTCCACTCATTGGGGTGTGCTTCATGTGATTCGTGAGGTTTCTTTAGCTGGTATTTCTCTGGACTGACATTTTTCTCCGATGGTTTTGATGTAGATATAGTAACAGACCCCAGGGGTTCTAAGTTTAGAACCCCTTGATGCTGAGCCTCAGAGAGGCCTCTGTGGCCTTTGTAGAGTTCAGACACTGATCTTTCTCCACAGTTAAACTCCCATCTCTATTAAATACATCAGTGAAGCTCAGCTTGTTGCTGGAAGCCTATCATAGCTACTTTGAAGATTTTTCATGCCATTAAGAAAGATCTTTTTGTTTAGCTCCAGTTATATTTAGGACCAACAAGTTAGCTCTAAACAACCCTTCCATTTGGTTTGTATCAGAATGGGGGGTGAGGGGTGGTGAGAAAGAAAGAAAACATTTAGCGAAAGGAAACCAAGATTGAATGAGGGGAAATGAAATGTTCATTTTGAGCTGTCAAATTATCAAAGCAGAATTTCCCCCTACCCTATCATACAATGGTCATTCTTCTAATGTACTACTTTAAAGTCCTCATAAATTAACCATTTTTGGTTTGTTCCAGAATGGGCCAGCTCACATGAACCCACACTGCTTCATAGTCCTAGTTTTTAGCTCTTTGTCCTCTGAAATTCTCAGTTCATAATGCAGCAATAAAACACTATCAAACTGTTAGTGTCTGATACTGTTTAGTGTTCAAAATTAGTCCTTTTCCATTTGGCAGCACATTTTGCCATTCACCGTGTTCACCATTTTTGTGTTTATATGTAAATGTATTAGCCTTCACCAGCCTAACCAACCCCTCTTTGTAGCACACATACCTACCACTTCCTTTTCTCTTTCCTAAGTGCAGCGGAACACAATTGTCTGTCTCCCAGTTATATACAAACATATATATATATATATATATATATATATATATATATACACCTTTTCAATCTCTGTGGAACAGACTATTCAGGAGGCTGGATTCAATGAGGAAGAATGTGTCATCAGGATTGGAGGAAGACTCATGAACAAACTGCATTATTCAGATGATGCAACCTTGCTTTCCTAAACCAAGGAGGACTTGAAGCATTTGCTGCAGAAGGTCAAGGACTGCAGTCTTCATTATGGATTGCATCTCAACATCAAGAAGACAAAAATTGCATCTCACTAGGCTATTGGCAGCATCATGATAGATGGAGAAGAGATTGAGGTTGTTAATAGTTCCAGCTTGTTCAGATCCACAATCAACAACTCTTGGCACCAGTAGTCAGAAAATCGAAAGAGAAGTTACGATAGGAAAGTCTGCTTTCAGGGGCCTCTCCAGAGTGCTAAGGAGCAGTGATGTCAGTCTAGAAACTAAGATATGCCTGATCCAAGCCATGGTCATCTCAATTACTTGCTGCTCATCTGAAAGCTGGGCAAAATGACGAAGGATGACAGAAGAATTGATGCCTTTGAGTTATGGTGCTGGAGAAGAGTATTGAACATTCTGTAGACTGCCAAAAGAACAAACAAATCTGTTCTAGA